GAGCAACGGCCTGCGGTCCGGAGAGACCCGGGTTCGGTTCCTGCTAAGGGCACGTACCTCGGTTGCAATTTGTCCCCGGCCCTGGTTGGGGTTGTGTGGGTGGCAACCAACCGATGTCTCTCTCTCTCTCTCTCTCTCATGTTGATGTTTCTCCCTTTTCCTCCCTCTCTCCTTCCTGCTCTATCTGAAGATAAATGCAAAAAAAAAGTAGGAAGATGCCTTGGCTGAGTGTCGGCCCGTGGACCAGAGTCGTGGTTCAATTCTGGTCAGGGGCACATGCCTTGGTTTCGGTTCGTCCCCAGCCCTGGTCAGGGTTGTGCGGGAGGCAGCCAGTCGATGTGTCCCTCTTTCCCCCTTCCCACTCTATCTGAAAATAAATAGAAAAAAAACATCCTCAAGTGAGGATTAAAAAAACAGAAAACACACAACTCCTCAGTTCCACCAAAACACAATGCACTGTGATGCCGTCGGCGGGTCTGTCGGACTCACACAGACCCTGCAGTGCGGATGGAGGCCAGCTCACCCTGACCTTCAGGGCCCGTCACTCAGAGACCTGTCTCCAGGCCGTCCTCTGAGGACAGTGGCCGTGCTGTCTGTGCACAGGGTAGAGGCGGCCGGGCCGGATCCGAGCGGCCAGACGAAGTGAAAGCTACAGAACAGAAGCGGAAACGTCAAAGTACTTTATTGATACATCTTTCAAATGACAACAGTTCCGAACACAGTTCAGCATGGAGTCACACAGATGACAACAATACATTCCAGCGTCTCTACTGCTCCACACCCACTCCCGAGAGGCTGTCCGCGCCGGACCAGGGGAGCGGGACGCGACAGGCAGCGCCAGGCCGCAGGGGCGCGGTGCCGGGGACGGCAGGGCACAGGAAGGAGCCACCCAGAGGAAGGAAGCAGTCAGCTGGCCCAGAGCGCTCGCTGCACCACGCTCCAGGCTCGGTGTGGCCGCCCACACCCGCCGGCGCACTAGGCTAGGAGGGCCGGCCAGCCCGAGGGCGCGGCCCAGGCCCAGGCCGTGCCCACTAACATGAACTCATGCAAAAGCCGTCCTGCAAAGGAGAGGGCAAAACAGGGTTAGTGACGCCGCCCTTGGCTGCGGGTGCTGCCTCCGCGCTGCAAAGGAACAGAGTCCGAGTGTTATTCTCTCCAATCAGAGACCTGGAGGAGCAAGTCAGGAGTAAGAACCTGTCGAAGCAAAGGTGTCAGCAAGGTGCAGGGGGCCGAGGCCAGGACCCAGGACGGGAGGCGCAGCAGGAGAGGGCGGGGGCGGGGCGGGGTGCAGGGAGAGTCCAGAGGAGGCCGGAGCCAGGAGGCCTAGGACCTGGCCCGGAACCTGAGCAGCAGCAGCAGCAGCAGCAATGAGAACACCAGGTCTGGGCTTTGCTGTCGCTGAACCTGAAACTGAACAGCGGAGAATTAAAGCCTCGGGTTACAATCCTCACGGAGGAGAGGTCTGGGCTCTGCCTGTGGAAGCAAAGCAGGTTACAGAGCCACGCGCCATCTGCTCTTCCGTCACAGCGTGTGCGCGCGTGAACCCGACGTGTCCGCGCGGACACGCCTGCAGGATGCCGAGCAGCACCCCGGGCACGCCTGCAACGGGAAAGCAGTGTGTGAGGCAGCCGTGCTGAGGTGCTGGGCCAGCTTTCTACAGTGTAGTGAACCCCTAAACACAGAACATAAGAAACAGCACATCTGTCCACCCCGTGGAACACACTCAGGCTACACTGCATCGTGCTCCGTCACTAAGGGCCTGCACTGTCTACGTAGCTCCTGAAACTAGTCAAGGGGCCGAGGCCACGTGGCCGTCGCCCTGGGCACCCGGCCAGCTGCCCGTCTCACTGGGGCCCGACCAACGGCCCGGGGAGGACGGCCGGCAGCCCCCTCCGCACGTCGCGGGAGTACACCTGGATCCAATGTGGATCGGCGGGATGCGCTCTGCCGCGCACAGAGCTCGGCACTGTGCGCTGGACATCACGTAGGTTCAAAGACCTTACACGAAAATCCTTAGGATTCAATAGTGAATCGAGGCTACACGCCTTTGGAGAATTCTTATCTAAGAATGTCCAAGATAATACTTCATTCACACGTTTTAAAAATAGTTGAAAAGGTTCATTGAAATGCTCATTAAATCAAATGCTAAAAAAATCTAAACTCACCCTAACTGGTCGGACCCTGTGCTTCCCTCCTGGGGTCCCCGCGCCCCATCTCACCTCGCTCCTCCCTGTCAGCGGAGCCCTTTCCGATCGCCTCCTGAGCCGTCTGTGAGGAACAACAGCTGGGTGCTTCCTCCCGCTCCCAGCAAACAACAAACAGGGGCCCTGCCTGAGAGGGGGGACCCGCCGCACGCTGCCCCCGCTCCAGCCCTAACTGTCCTCAGCGGGTCCATCAGCCCAGCGGTCTGCGGGCGCCCAGCTTACCTTCGGGCAAACAGACAAAGCGACAGTGGACAGAATACTGGAAGCCAAAAGAAGACGTGACAACGGCCCGGAGCAGCTCTGCGAGCGGGTCTCACTCCTGCCCCAGAGCCGCCGGGCCCTCCTGACGGGCGCCCCCCCCCAGCAGAGCCCCAGCGCACACCTACCAAGGCCCCGTGTGCCCACTCCCACGCGCCCCTCGGGGACAGCCTGCTCCCGGGCGGTGCCAGGAGACGGGCCAGGACGAGGTCCTACAGCTGCTCATTCTGCAGGCCGCCCTCTCCCGCGGCTCCCCTTCCTCCGGCCCTGCACCCCACACCTCCCCCTCCTCCCAGCAGCACAGTCCTGTTGGCGGAATTAAGCAACACGCTGTTTGGGAAGAAGGGCCTGGTGCAGGACCCAAGTCTGTCACAGTTCAGAAACGCTACAGAACAGCGAGCACGCACAATGTTTCTCAGGACCTTTACAGACCATGGACGACCCGAATTAGAAGACCTTCTGTTCATGGAGCCCACTCCTCCCCTCCCACCCCCCCACCCCTCAGCGGTGAGGCCGCAGGCAACCCACTTAGGGTGCTGCCTGTCCAGAAACGGGGACCCTCGACATTTATCAGGGAAAAGGACCAGATGCGAGCTAACAGACCGACAGCGCAAGCTCATGCTCAGACAGGCGGCTGGGCGAGCTTGTTACAGCGCAGACTCAATACAAGGGGGCGCGGAGAGGGACGGCCCACATGGTCGCCGTCCGCCTCCGACACACCGCTGTCCACGGGCTCTAGGCCCCGGGGCTGTGAACAAATAATGCACAGGTCAGGACGAAGGCATTGGCTCACTCCCATCTTTATAAAAGTCGAACGTACACACGAACACGGCAACAATCATGGAGCTGTGTCCATTAAACTCGATGAGACAACACAAAAGAACTAGCGAACAGCTGAGGTGCTGCTGAGCTGAAGCATTTCCAATAGCACTTTAATCTAGAAGGTCCAGCTTACACAGCATGTCACGTGTGCCTGCGTCTGCACTGAATGCACGGTAAAGAACAGAGATAATGGTTGCAACAGATCTTCCGAGGGCTCAGCTACCGAGTCTGGCTTCCCTGAGAGAAGCGCCCCAGGACAGGTAATGCTTCCTAAGTCCGCTTCCTCCCTCCCGCCGCTCCCTGCAGGAAACCACTGTGCCAGGCCCGGCCGGCTGCAGGCCCCGGCCAGGCGGGCACCAGCGGCACGGCACCGAGCGTGCTCGCAGGGCTGTAGGGAAGGCCCTCCCGAGGGCCAGTCCTTCAGGACGGGACTCAGGAAAGCCTGTGTGCGCAGGTCGACACGCACATCCTGGCACCCACGTCACGCTTGGTGCCCAAAGGCCCTGAAGTGGTCACGGGTCTGTCCGGGCCATGGGGCCCAGACAGGATTAGCCCGCCATCACTGACTAGAAGAAAGGACGCTAAAGCCCACTGTCCAGAGACAACACGCAGGGGTCTGGTTTCTGAGCCACAGCACACGCAGACTATTTCAAAAAGGGGTAAAAAGCTCGCTCAGCTCATGTTACTGTGCAAACCCAGCACGTGGGCTGTGCGCCCGCTGGTGGCCGAGCGGGAGGTCTGCACCTCTCTCTAGGGCTTTGTGCTCAGCCGGCACCAACGCAGCCCGCGGACCGCACTAGCTCCGCTCCGCGTCCGCATGTGACACACCTGGCCTGCCTGTGAGCGTGGGCGCCGAGCCACGGCAGGCAGCTGCTGGGCACAGGGCACCGACGCATGGGTCACGCCACTGGAGCACCTGGGAGCCAGCGGGGGCTCTCCGGAGCAGGGAGGCAGATGCCCCGCCTGTGCCCCCTGCGGGCAGCGCCCCCTCCTGGGCTCTCAGCACCAATGCCCAGTCAACGTGCACGCGGTCTCCCGGGCCTGCGCACGCCCTCCATTCTGGCCCCGACTCTGGGAAGCGCACTGGAGCCTCAGCTGTGCCCACGAGGGAGCGAGCTCCCTGGCCTGGCTCAGCTCCCAGGGGCCGAGAGGAGAGCAGCCTGGCTGCACAGGCCTCAGGTGCCACTCTGGTCCCCGCGGGGCTGGCCAGAGACCCTGAATAGCAACAAGCCCCTCATTCTACTTCTACAGACAGCGCTGTGGGGACACCTCCGGTGTGACGCGGCCACGTCCGTGTGCCTGGCGCCCCTCGCTCAGACCAGGCACAGCGGCACCGCTCCCTGAGCAGACACACCGCAGGGCGCTTGCCCAGCGTCTGCCCAGAGGGACTTCCCTACAGTTGCTCTGTGCAGTGACGGCCCCACCTAAAGAAGCTGCGCAGACACTCACGCCTCCCTCGCCCACACGCTGCGAGGAGGCCCAGGGTGCCACCCGCTCTCAGTCTGCTGAAGGACAGCACAGCCCTGCTCAAAAAGAGAGAAAGGTTAAAACACTGAGGACCAGCTTCCCAAAGGCTGCTCGCCACAGAGCAGCGCCCTGAGCCCACCACTCGGCTGCACTGAGGAGGGAGGAACCAGCCAGGCTGCCCGGCTCCGGCGCTCCTCCGCCCGGGAGCACGCTGAGCGGCCACCGAGCAGGGAAGCGCAGTGGTGCAGCCTGGTCCCCGCCCTGTTTGGGAAGAGTTAGAAAGGGTGGTGGTCCCCTCCGGAGCTCGGGGGTACAGCTGGCGCTTTTGGGGTCTTTACAAGAAGCAGAATCTGCTGCATTGTCCCCCCCGCCCTCACACCTGCTTTCTGGGACAACCCCCCACTTTTTCACCTGTTCTTACGAGAGCCTTCAGAGGGCTTTCTGAGAAGATGCCTCTGGTCTAGCCTGCACTGAAGATAAGTGCAACCATTATCAAAGATTCTTTGCTGTGAAAAGTACTTAGAATTTGTGTGCTAATGTTCCTCCCTGAACCTAAGTCTCGGTGAGCGATCGATCAGACAGTGAAATCACGAAGAACAGTGTCTACATGCATCGTAAGCACGTTGGAAACAAAAGAAAACAAAAACTGGAGTTCCCGGAGGCGGCCACAGAACGTGAAGCCATCGAACCGAACGCCAGCCTGCCACGTCCCGCAAGTTCAGCTCCCCCAGAATCCACGCTGGCTGCTGGCGCTCCGGACAACAGTTACGAGACCGCACGGAGCCCCGGCCGGCGGGCCCTGTGCCGGCAGCTCCCTCGAAGACACCCCACAGCTCGGCGTGCAGCACGGTCGGCTCCTGCTGGGACTCACTCGACAATCAGGGCCACGTTTATGTGGGACAAGTCTATCATGTGCCTGCGGAGACAGGAACAAACAGCAGCGTCAGTCGGATCTGCACATGGCCGTCCACTTGCAGAAGCAGGACAGACGGAGAGGGGAGCCAACAGAGACACCGACACAAGCACGTCCACAGAGGCCTGCCCGCGAGCGGCCCTGTGCGCCGCAGTGACAGGTGGACGCTGCAGCACGCGGGCAGCAGCTGCCATGACCGAGAGGAGCTGAGGAGCCCCCCGCCTCGGCTCCAGAGCCACAGACCCCACTACCTGTGGAACTTCTGCTGGAACGCCAGTGCGTGCGCGGGCTCCTTGAACTTGGCGATGGCTTTCCGCTGCTGGGGAAGCATCTGCAAACTCTGGAGGGAAAAGCAAAGAGACACTTTAATGTTGTGCTACATGTACATGCACACGTGAGATTTCATGCAGAATTCAAGCTTAGACCACATCTGGGTGACTGACAGACGAAGTCCATCTCTATGCAGTTTTTCTAACTCACCCTCGAAGCCCGGCTTTAAGACCCTGCACCGTCTGACCACACCAGCCACCCAGTCCTTCCTCTGCACCTTCCCCGCGGCCTGGTGGCAGGCACCCACGGGTGTCCCTTTCTGTTCTCATGCCTTCTCGTAAGGCGACTGACTGTCAGGGTATCTAGATCTTGAAAATACTATGCTCCTCTTCAAGAAAAAGTTTCAAGGTTTCAGTGGTGACTGTCTCCTATGAGTGTGTTCCCCAGTGAAACGAACAACATGAAAACAAGGCATGAAGCTTCGTGTTTACCATTCACCATGTAAAATGGTAAAACGATTGCTCTAAGATTTGTTTATTTGTATCTAAGTGCCTCAAACTTCCATTTGATGGAGGAGCTATCAGTCAAGACAGCATCGACCACATGAAATTCTCACAGAATCACAAGAGCCAGGGCTCCCCAGGGGCACGGGCACAGGAGCGAGGGCTCCCCAGTGTGCACGGGCACGGGAGTGCGGGCCCCCCAGGGTGCACGGGAGCGCGGGCTCCACAGTGTGCACGGGCACGGGAGTGCGGGATCCCCAGGGTGCACGGGCACGGGCTCCCCAGGGGGCACGGGCTCCCCAGGGGGCACGGGCACGGGAGTGCTGCCTGACGCTGGCTTCCTGGTGCTCCCCTCTGCTTACATGTCTGTGCCCTTTCAACACAACAAACCCTATTTTCCAGACATGAGAATGAATTGTAGAAATCGCCACTATTCAACCTATCAAAATGACAAATATTAATGATTTCTTTGGAAGGAGAGGAAAACCTGTTGCATGAAGAGCTGAAGGCTATGATCACCACTTTCCACATTTTCATATAAAAACAAATCACCCAGAACAGGCCAAAAGCTAGCATTTGTCTCAAGTCTATACTATTCATTGATTCCCCAACTCCTGTCCCCCGCCAAATATCTAACTGATATGGAGACAGAAAGACTAAATTCATCCCCTTCCTCCCTGATTTACTGCTCACTTTTCAGAGATAAGACGTCTTCAAACAGTGTCGGAGAGTAGGTGCTGTTCTGCTATCGAGCACGAGAGGCTGGCGGAACCCTCCTGGAGCAGGCTCCACCCGCGCCCACGAACAGCCAGCAGGGCCACGGGGCCGAGCTGCCGGGACCGTCCGCACACAGCAACGCGCTGCTCAGAACCTGGCCGCTTTCCCACTCGAGGTCAAGTCCGCCCTCTTTCTGGTGGAGCCCGTGTGTGTCCAGTTGCTGCCGTCCCGACAGGTCCGTTACGTGCGTCCCCTCTGCCCACAACCCCTCACACCTCCAGGAGTGCTGCTAGTGGTTCTAAACACAACTGGGCCTGGCGGGAGTGGCTCAGTGGCTGAGCGTCAGCCCAGGCACCAAGAGGTCGCCAGTTTGATTCCCGGTCAGGGCACATGCCCAGGTTGTGGGCCCGATCCCCAGTGGGGGGCGTGCAGGAGGCGGCCAGTTGATATTCTCTCTCATCTATGTTTCTCTCTCTCTCCCCCTCTCCCTTCCTCTCTCTAAAACAAAGAAGAAGAAAAAATTAAAAATAAAGAAATAAATACAAATTACACACAGCTGGAGTGACTTCACAGCAGCCGCAGTGTGGGATGGCCCTGCAGCCGGCACGTCCCAGAAGAAAATGCACAGGACCCTGTTCAGGAGCCTCTTCTGTGCACAGCTCGCTGGCCATGCGGCGGCCAGAGTGGCTGGCACTGTCCTGGGGTCTGAGCAGTAACAGGGGAGTTTGCAGCAGCCCCTCGGGCAGCTCCGTCCAGTGACTGTCACAGAACCAACTGCGCCGCCTGCTCGGCACCATGTCCGTCGTCCCGCCGTGTCTGGCCGTCTCGGACACAGACGTGCGCGTCTCCTGAGCTCCCGCAGGGCACAGCCCTGCCGGCTGCCTGCGGCCCGTCCTGCAGACTGACCCTCCTGCACAGCGCGCTCCTAGAGCTGCCTCACAAGCCTGCCATGCCCGGCCCCTCTGGCCCACGGACAGCGGATGTGGACTTTGCTGAGAGCCTCCTGCAACACTTTCCCCGAGAACTTGGCCCAGACCTCCTTCCAACCTGGTGACGGTCCCCGGCTGTCTGTCTGCGTCTGACCATCCCATGTCCTACACGCACGGCGACAGCTGCTTCCACGGCAACGCGCCATAGTCGGTGCCGCCAGCCCGTCCTGCTCAATCAGGGCGAGAGGCAGAGGAGGAGGTGTTCTCGCCGACCCGCCTCCCCTCCCTGGCTGCGCAGGGCCTGTCTGGCCGACTGAGCCCCTGCCTGAGGTTGGCCAGTGGCGTCCTGCAGCAGCTGCGGGAAGACAGCCCTGGGACGCACACAGGAATCAGGTGCGTCCGCAGGAGGCCACTTGCCACTCTGCCCTCCTGCTCCCACAGGCTCTCCCCCAGAGACCAGGCCTGTCTCTTCAGCCCCTCCCTGCCCGGGGACGAGGAGGTTCCTGGCGGCGTCTCCCGTCTTCTCAAAGCCGACTCCGGCTGCGCAACAGCTGCACGCTGCCTCCCGGGACGGCGGGGCAGCACGCAGGCGCCGACACACAGTGCCCCACACAGGCGGCCACACGACGCACCGGCTGTGACTGCGGTGAGGGTCACAGGGAGCCTGAGCGACCCCCCGGCCACGCTTGTGCGGAAAGCGCTGATTCTACACCATGGCATTTCATTCCGCACAGAGCACGTGTCTCCGCACAGTGAGCACGGCCCAGCTAACGGGAACAGAAGGAAGCGGAGCAGCAGCATGTGTGGGATGGGCCACAGCTGCGCCCGGACCCTGACGCTGACCCGGCTCGGTCCTCCTGAGGGACAGGAGGCGAGGGTCACTCCCTGGAGGAGGCCACTCCTGCAGCCCCGCCCTCTCATCTGGAGTTCTGACCTCCACACTGACTTCTCGTGTCGTTTCTACTTCCTGCTCAGAACAGTCTCCGAGACCTCGTCCTTCTTCCTTACTGAGTCCACAGTTCCAGTGGACTCTCCAGAGCCCGTGAGCAGTTCCGGAAGGGCGCCACTGGGAGTAGGGCAGCACCTGCTGCCACACGAGAAAGCCCCTCAGACTCCACAGCTAAAGCAGCAGAGTGAACACAGACTGCAATTTTCTATAATTAAAGGGGCCAAAGAACAGGGCCCTGCCCAGTGCAGACACCACCCCTGCTATTACACCACGTGGACGCCAGGTGGCACCACAGCCCACGACTCACAGGACGAGCTGGGTTGGCACAGCTGGAGACCCCCCAGCTCCATCCCTTCCAAGTCTATTCATATTTAAAACACAGTTATAATAAGACATTGTTATGAATATCTTTTAAAAATTTATACTCAGCAGTATCATTCTAACACTGCTGAAGAAGCCTGTTGTACCAAGAGTCTTTGCATTTGTGACTGCAGCACTGAACTATCTCCACTCCCCTCAAAACCATCTTCCAGGAGCAAGACTGGCAAGAAATGGGCACCCAGCTCAGCTCCCAGGGGGTGCGCAGGCCCTGGCAGAAGTGCTACATGCACTGCTCACGGGGACACATGGGGCCCACCTTGTACTTCATTTTAAGGGTAACGTGTATGACCTAGAAAGCGTCTTTGTTTTCCTCTCTCATTAAAACAGGCCATCAAGCCCTGGTCGGTTTGGCTCAGCGGTTAGAGCACTGGCCTGCGGTCCAGAGAGACCCGGGTTTGGTTCCTGCTAAGGGCTTGTACCTTGGTTGCAGTTTGTCCCCGACCCTGGTTGGTCGTGTGGGTGGCAGCCACTCGATGTGTCCCTTTTGCATCGATGTTTCCCTCTCTCTCTCTCCCTCTCTCTCCCTCCCACTCTATCTGAACAAAAAATGGAAAAATGTCCTCGGGTGAGGATAAAAAAAACAGGCCATCAAACAATCCAATACTGTTTTTGCTCAGCTTCAAGTGCCCTCATTCAAACTTTATTATTGATAACACAGTGAGCTCTCACCCTTCCTTTTCAGAACAGGAAACAACGACTGATGGGGGGAAAGGCCAGTCAAGAGACCTAGAGCTCCAGACGCAGACGCAGCTTCAGGACACACAAGACCAGGCCAGGCGGTGCAGCTGCAGCTTGTGACGGATCCGCTGAGCCTCAGGGGCACCTTGACTCAGATGGCACTAGCGTCAGGCCAGGTCTGGACAGCGGGCAGAGCCAGCACACACTCCCTGTCCACAGAGACCGCAGGGCAGGCTGCACTCCGGCCTCACGGGAGCCCTGGCTCGCTCTGACCTGATCCCCAGCACCGGAGGTCTGAGTCTCGGATCAGGATGAGCACATCTGTGCCCTGGAATCCTCGTGTCAGCCCTGTGCCTACAGATGAGCTCGACTGTGGTTCACGTTCTGGAAACCAGTCCCTCTGCCTGGACCTCTGGGGCCAGAGGAACCGCCTGCTCACACCTTGGGAAACGACTGCTAGAAACAGGCGAAGCTCTTGCCTCACTCGTCGTGACCACACAACTACCCTGACCCTGTCTCGGAGCCCGGAAGTGGGCGGTGGAAAGGCAGAGTCTAGAGGGGTCACTACTCCGCAGCTCTGGGGCTCTCAACAGTACACGGGGATTTGAGACACATTCCAAATTAGCGACTCATGTCACTCTAGTCTGAAAATGTGTCCGTTCCCCGTGAAGCGGCGCGAGCACAGGCATCACTCTGGAGCCTGCCGCCGTCAGCCCACAGGCGCTCCTCAGACACGCCGGCCAGGACGGGTGCTGTGCCGAGGGACACCTGGCAGGAGGCCAGACATGAGTGAGCCGCTCAGGGAAACCAGGGGAGCCGCCTGCTGGCGGGTTCGCCCACAGGGCCCCAGACGCGGCAGGGACGCTGCGGGAACCCGCCCCGGCCGAGGCCCCCACAGCCCGCCAGCGGAGCTCGGAGCACGCAGAGCCACCCAGCGCTAAGAGACCAGAACACAGTCACGTATCTCACGCCCGTCAGATCCAACCCACGCTCCACGGCTCTCAACATGGAGGCTGCTTCTGAGAACGAAGATCAAGAAGGCTACATACTTTAAAATTTTAAATTATTACAAAGAAACAAGTGTGTGACAGAAAAACATATATCCGAGTGTGCACGTGAAATCTAGGATAATCCGGACCTTGAAGCACCCTTGGCCGGTCACAGCCATCAGCCCATGAAGCTCACCGAGCACCTGAGCCCGCACCCGCGCTCCGAGGCAGAGGCTCCGACAGCAGGTGGGCACAGGACCCAGCCCTGCCTTCCTCCCCACATGCATCCCTTTAACACGCAGCGGCCAACGCTCCGCGTTCATCAGGAAGTGACCGGGTCCCGGGCTGGACAAGGGCACAATGGAGCCGGGCGGCCTACCTGAATGGGCCCCACCGACATGAGCAAGCTCTTCAGCTGGACATCGGTGGTGGACGACGACAGCCCCTCCACAGACACGGCGCAGGGCTGCGGCTTGCACTCCACCACCCGCAGGTTCTGCTTGTTGGGCGTCGGGCGCCCTCGGCCCATCGGCCCTGCTGCGCCCCGGCCTCTGCCGTGCATGAGGACCTGCCAACAAGAGGGACTGGTCACGTGGGAAGCTTTGGTGGCTTTATTTTTTTGCACAACTACTAAGATAAAAAGTGAGAAAATAACTCAGATTCCATTAAAATATGCCAGGATCCTCTATCGTTTTACCCGCTCGCAGAAAGGAAGTCAGTGTCTGAAAGGACACCACCCGCAGACGAGAGGAAGGCACAGGAAAGGCAGGAGCAGGGTCAGAGTGGTCCCAGTGCCCAGAGCCTGCTGGGAGCTGCACACTGAGGATGCGGGTCAGTCCTCACGGCCACAGGGCCTGGTCCCCCTCCACACCCCAGGCCGCTCCTCGGGGACGGTGCCCCCGTGCACTGCACAGCCCTGCGAGCCACACTCCACAGACCCTGTGCGCCCTGGTCACCTGAAAACCTGAAAGGCCATTTCTGCAACAAGGGTCCCTGCCTGCTGCCCTGTACATTCACCTGAAGAGCTTTAAAAACCAAGAATGGAGGGCACGCACCCTCACCCCAAAATTTCAACATCGCTGCTCTAAGGTGGAGTCCAGACCTCAGGATTTTTCAAAGCTTCCCAGGGTTCAAACTACTGTTCTAAGATCTTTTAAGAAAAGGACAAAGCTGATCTTTCTGGAATCTTCTAACTAGGGAGCCAAATAGAGCACCAGGGGCAAGAGCTTCCTGGAAAAAGCACATGTCCAGCACAGGGCGTGAGTGAAAAGTGGCCAGAGTGGGGCTGAGCAGCACCGGACATCCCACCCCGACTGGGCTCTGGAGTGTGGGTGGAAAGGAACAAAACCACCCCCATCATGGCGAGGGGCAGAGGGGGAGGCAGACAGCAATCCCAGGGGAACTTCAGGCACCAATGGGCAGCACAAAAAGGAACACGGACAAGACAAACCCTAACAGTCCCTGACACTCCGCAGAAGGTAACAGCTGCTCCTGTGAAGTGGGTTTTTGAAAAGTACAAAAGGACATTTCAAGTGCCAACGGCGAACCCCAGCAGGTGTGCCGCAGAATGTTTCAAACACAGCGCCTGGCTCCGTAGTCAGGGCACTGACCACTTTTCCTTAGCTGGTCCAATAAAAAAGTGACGGGAGCCAAGGCAACAGACATCCAGTGCAAATGAATCAACATTATGCCTAGTTTTTTGTCAGACTGACAAAGATTACTTTTTGGTACCACAGAATTTTAATAATTACTCTATGTGCCATGAGATGAAGAGGTTGAAAATCACTGATTCAGGCACAGAGCTGTGTGGGGTGGGAGTTTTCCTGAGGTCTTTCTCATTGTTTGTCCACAGACGACGCCGGACTGAAGAGAAGCTGGATTAGAACAATCTGAAGACAGCACCTGAAGACATGACCTCTTGGGTCTGTGCACCTGCCTCCTGCTGCGAAAATGGAATACTCCCATTTTCCCTATATCATGTTTATGGGATAATACGCACTGTTAATTAAATAACTTCATATGAATGAGCACTGCTACTCCGTGTCCCCTCAGGACAAGCAGGCAGGGGGAACGAGCCGCATACAGAGTGCTCTAGAACAAGCAGGAGGACAAGCGGACCGCAGAGCTCTAGACAGGCAGGGGGACGAGCGGACCGCAGAGCTCTAGACAGGCAGGGGGACGAGCGGACCGCAGAGCTCTAGACAGGCAGGGGGACGAGCGGACCGCAGAGCTCTAGAACAGGCAGGGGGACGAGCGGACCGCAGAGCTCTAGACAGGCAGGGGGACGAGCGGACCGCCGAGCTCTAGACAGGCAGGGGGACGAGCGGACCGCCGAGCTCTAGACAGGCAGGGGGACGAGCGGACCGCCGAGCTCTAGACAGGCAGGGGGACGAGCGGACCGCCGAGCTCTAGACAGGCAGGGGGACGAGCGGACCGCCGAGCTCTAGACAGGCAGGGGGACGAGCGGACCGCCGAGCTCTAGAGCAGGCAGGGGGACGAGCGGACTGCAGAGCTCTAGAGCAGGCAGGGGGACGAGCGGACCGCAGAGCTCTAGAACAGGCAGGGGGACGAGCGGACCGCAGAGTGCTCTAGAACAGGCTGGGGAAGAGCGGACTGCAGAGCTCTAGAACAGGCAGGGGGACGAGCAGACCGCAGAGTGCTCTAGAACAGGCAGGGGGACGAGCGGACCGCAGAGCTCTAGAACAGGCTGGGGAAGAGCGGACTGCAGAGCTCTAGAACAGGCAGGGGGACGAGCGGACCGCAGAGTGCTCTAGAACAGGCAGGGGGACGAGCGGACCGCAGAGCTCTAGAACAGGCAGGGGGACGAGTGGACTGCAGAGCTCTAGAACAGGCAGGGGGACAAGCGGACCGCAGAGCTCTAGAACAGGCAGGGGGACGAGCGGACCGCAGAGTGCTCTAGAACAGGCAGGGGGACGAGCGGACTGCAGAGCTCTAGAACAGGCAGGGGGACGAGCGGACCGCAGAGTGCTCTAGACAGGCAGGGGAACCAGCGGACCGCAGAGCTCTAGAACAGGCAGGTGGACGAGTGGACCGCAGAGCTCTAAAACAGGCAGGGGGACGAGCGGACCGCAGAGTGCTCTAGACAGGCAGGGGGACGAGCGGACCGCAGAGCTCTAGACAGGCAGGGGGACGAGCGGACCGCAGAGCTCTAGACAGGCAGGGGGACGAGCGGACTGCAGAGCTCTAGAACAGGCAGGGGGACGAGCGGACCGCAGAGCTCTAGAACAGGCTGGGGAAGAGCGGACTGCAGAGCTCTAGAACAGGCAGGGGGACGAGCGGACTGCAGAGCTCTAGAACAGGCAGGGGGACGAGCGGACCGCAGAGTGCTCTAGACAGGCAGGGGAACCAGCGGACCGCAGAGCTCTAGAACAGGCAGGCGGACGAGCGGACCGCAGAGCTCTAAAACAGGCAGGGGGACGAGCGGACCGCAGAGTGCTCTAGACAGGCAGGGGGACGAGCGGACCGCAGAGCTCTAGACAGGCAGGGGGACGAGCGGACCGCAGAGCTCTAGACAGGCAGGGGGACGAGCGGACTGCAGAGCTCTAGAACAGGCAGGGGGACGAGCGGACCGCAGAGCTCTAGAACAGGCAGGGGGACGAGCGGACCGCAGAGTGCTCTAGAACAGGCTGGGGTAGAGCGGACTGCAGAGCTCTAGAACAGGCAGGGGGACGAGCGGACTGCAGGGCTCTAGAACAGGCAGGGGGACGAGCGGACCGCAGGGCTCTAGAACAGGCAGGGGGACGAGCGGACCGCAGAGTGCTCTAGAACAGGCTGGGGTAGAGCGGACCGCAGAGTGCTCTAGAACAGGCTGGGGTAGAGCGGACTGCAGAGCTCTAGAACAGGCAGGGGGACGAGCGGACTGCAGGGCTCTAGAACAGGCAGGGGGACGAGCGGACCGCAGAGTGCTCTAGAACAGGCTGGGGTAGAGCGGACTGCAGAGCTCTAGAACAGGCAGGGGGACAAGCGGACTGCAGAGCTCTAGAACAGGCAGGGGAATGAGCCGACTGTAGAGCTCTAGCAGAAACAGAGCAGGCGCTGCTGCCTTGCAACACTCCTCAGACAAGCGCGTATGGCTTCTGCACCAGAGGGGCTGTGCTCTCCAGCACAGGGGATGCTCTAGAGGCTAAGGGGCGAGGCGCTGCATCACCAGGACAATTGGACAAGGTGGCCAGCCACACCTCTCGGGAAGGGAGGCCTTAAATCTGGCTCACGAAAGAATATCCATCCCCCCGATGGAGTCCTGGATGCCCACGCCTCTTGTCTAACAGACTACGCTTGGAGAAGGAAACATCTCTCAGTCCACAGGGTGAGGGAAGGAGGCAAACACCAGGGTCAGGGCCACTCTTTGGGTACGTCACCCCTAGGCCTCAGTTCCCCCCCGTCAGCTACAGCAACGAGGAGGAAGTGGACGAGCCAACTCCTTGGCTCTCAGCCTGCAGAGCCTGGAGACCAGTGGGCTGGGGGAAAGCGTACCAGGCTGGACCGTCTCCAGGGCACCCACCTGAGTGATGGGTGTCATCTCAGAGCGGGGCCCTTAGAAAGTCACGGCAGGAAGCACGCTTTTGTGAGCACAGCGCGGTCAGAGGCAGAACCAAGAAAACTAAAGCTCCTTTATCCCCTTATTTGAACACTCCAGTGTGCCAGACACTTCTTCCCATCCTTCCCCCAGGGCACTAACGAGGGCACAGGCATACCTTCTTGGCTGGGTGGATCCCTTGGATACTCTTGATGCCTGGAGGGCCTGCCGAGTACACATGAGCCCCAAGGGGCAGGTGCTGGGGCTGCTGAAGGGCCCCCTTGGTCAGCGTCACCTTACGGGCAGGCTGCTGTCTCACTTCCGGGGGCTGGGGGGGCCGCTGGGACTGGCCATCTGGGTGGAAGAAGCCATCGCTCTCTCCTCCCTGCTGAAAGGAACGAGGCAGCGCTGGTCAGTATCTGCACAGCCGGACGCACCCGCCCCGCCCCGCAGACACCAGGACACCAAACTGTCGTTTCACTACAGCCGCTGGGAGATTTCTCACTTGACAACATTTGGGTTTTACTAACATTTTTAAAATTAAAAAACACTAAGATCTTGGATTATCCACTAAAGAGGTCTGTAATTAGAGGAAATGCTGTTTAGTTCAGTGAAACGTTGCTTAACTTGAAAAATACGTCAGCCCTGATTCAAGAAGAGACCATTAAAATCTGAGAAGATAATGAACTCATTAAAAACCTCCCTTAGAAAGAAAAATCCAGGCACAGATGGATTCAGCGACAAAGTCTATCAACTATTTAAGGAAGATGACCAATCTTACACAATCTCTTTCAGAAAACGGAGAAGGGAGAACATGCCCACTCATTCCTTGAGGCTATTACCCTGATTCAAAAAACAAATACATCAAACAAAAAGAAAGCCAAAAGCAAACATACCTTGTGACACACATGGAAATAATCTTTACCAAATATTAGCAAACTAATTCAGTGACACAAAAAGGGCGGCACACCATCACCAACTGAGACTTGTCTCAGGAATGCAAGGCCGGCTTGATGCTGGAAACAACCACCGAGCAGACCACACTCCCGAAAGGCAGGGCCACAGGGCCTCCCGCACCGCGGCAGGAAGAGCTTCCGCCGGCAAAGACCAAGCACCCACATGGCACCCAGCGGTGACAGGCCCGTCCCACACCCCGTGCCTCTGCCTCTACGGCATGCCTGCCAGCGCCCTGCATGTCCTCTTGCTGGCAGCCACCCCCCGACGGAGGAATGCCCCCGTGAGACTGGGAGCCCCAGGGAAGGCAGGCCATTTACAGGATCATGGTCTCCATAACCAGTCAGACTGCTGGCTTGTGCATCTTGGATTTCTCCACAAGGTCTTTTATCCAAGATGTGGGCAGGTACCCTACTCAGGCAGGGACAGCCTGTTCAACGTGCACAGGTTTTCAGTTTTTACCTTTAAAAGCTATGTGAACTCTCTCTAGCTTTTTATCTGCTTGCAATTTTCTACACTAGAAAGCTGAAAATGTTAAGGATACGCACACCCACCTTTCTGAAGAGCCAGCAGTCTGTCCCACGTCAGCCCATCTAACCTACTGACTCCGTGAGCACGCGTGCTCGTCTCCCAGTCCTCGGAGTGTCTCCCTTTCACCTGGCTGACACCACGCCAGCTGCCAGTCCCTCGAGGCTGTGCTTGGTGCAGGTGATGCTGGCCGGCCCAGGGAGTTCTGCGCAAGCTCAGCCGCACAGCAGTCTGCTGAGCGCTCTCCAACTCCTACCTCTTCACTCGTGGAGAAAGGAGCTGGCTGTGTGTCATAAGCTGTCTGGGAATCTTCTGTTTTATGGACTTGAGGATCTAAATACGCACCCTGGCCAGCTTGCTCAGTGGTTAGAGCGCTGACCCTCGAACTGAAGGGTTGTGGGTTCAAATTCCAGTCAGAGATACATACTTGGGTTACGGTTCGATCCCCAGCCCCAGTCCCAGTCAGGGTCGCACAGGAGGCAACCAATCAATGTGCCCCTCTAACATCAATGTTTCTCCCCCCCCCTTATCTCCCTCCCTCCCTCCCTTCGACTCTGTAACAACAACAACAAAAAATCAATGCAAAAATATCCTTGGGTAAGGATTAACTAAAAAATTTAAAATAAATAAATAAATAAAACAAGCGCTCCCTGGAAGCTCACCTACTAGGTAAAAGTTCAAGGCCACCTAGAGCACATGCTGTCTTATAAACGTCTACAGAAACCAGTGGTTTAGCTGGTTCAGTAAGTCTGCTTCGTTCACCAAGCCCAAAATCGTTGTGCTCTAGACAGCACTGAGGCATTTACTGACTGAATCAATAAGTAGGTCATACTTTAAAAAATTGAGTAGTTCTGCATGTGTTATAAACAAAGAGCACAGTATCAAGATACTAGATTATATGCATTGTGCAGTAACACGCACACACTGCTGAATGTCAGGACAACAGGAAAAGGCCAGCCAGCCTGCAGGTCAGCAATGCAATGACGTCCAGGTTGCAAAGACGGGGCGTTGGCCAGCCAGCACGTGAGGCCCACAGGAAGGGTGCCCATATGCACAGCAAACAAGACGGCATTTCCTACTTCCTTCGGCCAGCCAAACCTGACATCAAGATGATTTAGATAACACATCTGAACCTAAAAAGAAGAGCCTGCACCTAACAGTAGAGTGTTACGATTGGCCTATTTGGGTGATAAATACACAAAGCTGTAGATGGGATCTGATGGTTTTTAAACTGGGAATTGAGAACATAAACACTGAGTCAATAAATAAAAATTCTCTTGATTATTCTGAATAACTGTGATCATGGAGGTCTGAGCATATTAATGTCAGATAAAAATCCTAAAAAACAGTTTCAAACTTTTATTTTCCTTTCAAGAAAAGTTTACTTTTTACTCGGCTTGACCCTCATTTAAAGTTCAGAAACAAGGCCTTCACAAAAAGCCTCTCTACCTGGGGCTTCCAAAGTGGTATACCCTCTAGAGCCATAGATGATACAATAACTGTGTAACAGATTTCCAAGGCACTGCTAGGGTCTCAATCTCACAGAATTTTTAAATCATTCAACATATCCCACCCCTGGGAAGAGTGGAGGAGTCTGCAGTACGACCAGAAGTGGGCCAGGGTCCGCACCGACAGTCTCACTCAACCCTCCCCCACAGTAAAGATTCTCCAACTCACTGGACATGTGAACACCCCAGGCCAAGGATCACACAGGAAGCACTCGCCCCTACTGCCCCCTGGTGGGGAGGCGCTTCCAGCACAGTTGTGGAAACAGAAGGACTAACCATCATTCAACTGAATTAAATGAGTACTTACAATGATGCTGAGCTTTTGCACTTTTCTGAAAACCATGATGAGCACTCAAGGTTTAACTATAAGTAACAAGTAATTTCATTTTGTAAGAAAAACAAGGTGTTTTTCCCCCCAAATGAGAGAACAATTCTTCATTTTCAAATTAGCACAGTGAAAAGCTAATTCTTAGGGAAATTTTTAAATTCCAGTTATTTCAGTTAACACTAGAAACAAGTTCGACCATTCTCCCTTAGGTGTGGCCAGCAGTGTACTTTCACCCCACACTCACGCAGCCCCGAGGGTGTGGATTCCCATACTGTCCATTCAAACGAGGGCTTCAGAGCCCTTATCTGAACATACAGAAACAAGTGGTCATCTGTGGATGGCAGATTACGTTCTAGTCCAAAAGGGTGAGTTCACTCTAAAAGTGAATTCCTCTGGGGGTGGACAGGTCACTTTTAAATTCCTTCCGCTGCAGTGTGTTTAGACATGACTTTAAATATCTCTCACTTCCTCCAAAACAGATGAGGAAAAAAGAAGTTTGGTTTATCTTACACCAAACCGGAAATCTTTCGTTGTTTTTTCCACAAATGATTATCTTTTAATGCACTATAAAATGTGTTTTTAGAGTAGTTTTTTTAAAATATAAAGGCACTAACTGAATTAAGAAAGCTTAGGGAATACTTGTTTAATCAGCTCAATCATCACAAAAACACAGTTTGTAGCTGCCGCCAAGAGCAGGACAGATTCATTCGTGACAAATGGCCAGCTGCACAGACAGAAAGGCTTGTTGATACTGTCGGGCACCCTGCAATTTGACAGATCGAATCTCACTTTCATTCTTAAAGCGGCGAAGAAGTGGTATCGCTGACCTGCATTCACTAGTGAGCAGACTGATTAATCCCTCTCTGTAGAAATCTCACCTCTTGATTACACCTATCAGGCGCTAAGCAGCATTATTCTGGGGTGACAACACTTTGACAAATTCCCCAGCCATTTTTCTCAGCCTTTGTGGCCCTGCTAGCTTGTATTAACCCTGATGAAAAATTAATTTTCCTTATCTTCTTCTAAACCCCAAAGTCCAAATCCGCCAAACTGGCAACTCTTTCTGTAAAGGTATTATGAAAACCTCTAAAAGATTAATTGCATGTCTTCAGGTGACATTAAATTAATTCCCGTACTCATGACAGACACTTGATACTCCTTACTGAGAGGACAGATAACATTGTCAGGACACACAGAAGGACAGTGGCTGGGGTCCCAGGGCAGCCTCCTGCGCACCCTCCCTCCGATAAGGCTACTCGCTGTCACGGCAACGCGCCGTCTCGCAGCCCAGACCGCCCTCCCAGGCCCCTATTGACGGAACAGTGCTGGGCCTCGGCCTGCACTCTGCACCAACTCCCCGAACACAAACACACTTAGGGCCACTGTGTCTGCAAAGGAGAAAAGGTAAGAAAAATGAGCTAACATTTTCATCCAGGTCCCTCAGTCCAAACCCTACCTCGAGCGGCACTCGCCTATCCAGAAACCAGCGGACACAGGGCAAGCGTGAGAAGATTCAACAACGTCCATCTGAAATGCCTCCCATGGAGTCTGGAATGGGCCCACAGGGGCCAAGCTGGGACAAGTGCAGACTGGAGACAGGCAGACAGCGCATCTGCTGGGCGTCCTGGAGGAGGAAGCCCCGGGACACACACTGGGTGACAGGAGGTGACGGGCCCCGGACTCCAGGGCTGGCTCTCGGCAGCCCCTCCCTGACACGAGTTAGGTCGGGGAATGTCAAGGAGGCAGAGCCAACCGGCCTCTGGAGGGAAGAGCAAGGCCACATCTGCAAGGAGACAGCACGCGGCCCTCCGGCCAGGAGCCAGGCCCCCTCGGCCCCTCCAGCAAGAGCCCCAGGCAGGGGTGAGGCCCAGGCTCTGTGAGGCAGAAGGGTCCAGCCTGCCCTGGCTGAGAGCAGCGGGCAGCCCAGGGGGGAGCTGGGCTCTCCCATCCCGGGGCCTCCCACCCACCCGGGCCCGGGCACACACAGCAGTGTCTTCCTCACTCCGCTCCCTCGCCCGCTGGTCTCCCAGCACGGCCTGCCCTCTCCCACCCCGTCCTACTGCCTCCCGG